GATTTTGAACGGTAAAAACTATATAAAAACTATATTCACTTCACCAAATCTCAGATTCTGTACGTTTTAATGTAGCGATTTTGAACGGTAAAAACTACATAACAACTATATTCATTTCACCAAATCTCAGATTCTGTACATTTTAATGTAGCGATTTTGAACGGTAAAAACTATATAAAATCTAACGGTCGTTTCTGAGCAGTAACTGATGACTAGCCTATATCCCAAAATTTTCAAAATGACTAAGGTCAAACTGAGCCAAACCTAGTTAAAATGACATAAGCAAAGACTGCCTTATATGTTATCCATTGTTTTGAATGCCTTCCGCGGCTGATGTGAAGTTCGACGTTTGATCCAGTCTAAGAATGTATTACCGCCGTTTGCATTGCTACGCGCCCACCTCAGACAAAAATCGCGAAGTGCACATTGCAATAGACTGCCGTCAATCAAACACTTTGACGTCATTTAAACGCATTTGGATCGACCCTGTGAGTGTGGCTCATAATACTTGTAAAAAAATCGACAAGTTTTGGCGCCTTTTGAATCACACACGCGTGTAAATGACGTCAACGTGTTTGATTGACGGCAGTCTAATGCAAAGTGCACGTCGCGATTTTTGTCTGGGGTGGCCGCGTAGCAATGCAAACGACGGTAAGATGCACTTTAAAGCCATAATCGCGAAGAAATACATTAAGAATGGCGTACTCCCGCCCCACCTCCAATACTGTTAATTGTTTTAAGTTCAACAGGTAGGCTGTCTCAATCTCTCTAAGTTTCCTCATCTTCATCTATACGTACCCAATTATCTAATTTGGTTTTCATTATTATTTGCAGTACTTTCGTTGAACCAAAGCACACTGGCCATGGAAATACTACAATGAGCCTTAAAGAATATCTGGCAAATTATTATGACAAGACCTCCAAACCCTACTGCAGTAAATGTCTATCATTAATGCCTTTAAGAGTCACTTTATCAGCAAATTAATTACAATTTATATCTGCTAAAGTAAATAGACCGTAAAAGTCATAAAAAAGTCTTTTAGTCATTACATACTCTAAAGATAATAAAAGAAAAAATATCTAGAGAAATACACTTCAAATATCATTTCTGGAAAGCAATTGCAACTACAAATATCCCATGAAATTGTAGGCTCTAGGAATAGTCTTACAGTATTTGAATTTTTTGTTTAATTTCAGGTAAGAAAAATGTGGTTATGCTTGATTTATATATTCTGTCTTTCGGGAAAATAGAAGAGGCAAACATGGTAAGTTGTTTCTTCTTTCCACTTCAGTTAACCAACCAACCAACCAACCAACCAACCAACCAACCAACCAACCAACCAACCAACCAACCAAC